AAAACAATAGTGCCCTTCACCCGGTGCTCATCCCTGCTGGACACCCGGAGAATTCTGAGTTTGCGTCCAGGGTGTGGGGACAGCTGCAGCACCGTCTCTTGTTCATGACTATATTCAAAACACCTGAACAGCGAACACCTCGCTTCCAGCTGACAGCTGTGGCCCCGGGTCGGAGTGGCCCCTTGAGCCTGAGCTCTGAAGAGTGCAGTGATCTTGACCTTGGAGGACTAGTCCCTCCAAGGCCAACCGCTTACGCAGGAGGATGTGTGTGGGCAAGTGGTCAGATCAGAGAGAAGGAGCAGAGGGGTCAGGGCAGAGTCTGGAAAGGAGAAGCCCCTCCTTATGCCCTGTCCCCTAGGGCAGCCCCAGCTCATGTGGACATCACATCCTGTCACTGCTTTTATAGCCTCCAAATACCACGCCCAGCCTGAGCCAGGGTCAGAGGTCAGAGTGAGGCCAGGGCAGCAGGCAGGACCCACCCAGGAGCCCAGGCCCCTTTCAGGAGAAAGAGGTCGGTGAGGAACAAGACTCCCCACACTCCCAAATCCTTCAGCTTGGTCCCCAGACATCATTGCTGGAGACAGGTGTGATGAGCACCCCTCATTGTGGTGAGCTCCTCCAGTGGGCACTGCCATGCACAGGGCATGCTCCTAGCAGGGGCCAGGGCCTGGGGCCTCTGGGAGTTGGCACGACCAGGGCCCTGGGCACCACGATCACGGTCCTGGAGCAAAGGAGGTATGAGTGGGCTTCCCCGGTAGCTCAGTGGTAAAGAATCTGCCTGCCAATGCAGGGGACGCAGCTTCGATCCCTGGTCTGGGAAGGCCCATGTGCCTCGGAGCAACTAAGCCCGTGTGTGCTGCAACTACAGGGCCTGTGCTCTAGGGCCCAGGAGCCACAATTGCTGAGACTAGTGCCCTAGAGCCCACGCTCCACAAGATAAGCACTGCGATGAGTAGCCCGTGCACCACAACCAGAGAAAAGCCCTCATGGAAATGAAGATGGTACAGTCGAAAATAAGTAAATAAATGAAACTAAATGGTGTGAGTGCTTGTCGTTTTGAATGCGCTTCCTGATTCCTGAGTTCACTCCCGGCCCAAACCTACCGAGGGTCCCCAGGCTCTCTGGAGGGAAGACAGGCCACGGGGTGCTGGAGACAGCAGCTCTGTGGTCAGACAGACCTGGGCTCGGCCAGCTTCTGCTGCTGTAATTGCTCTGGGGTGGCAGGCGAGGTACCATGTGTAGCTGGAGGCACCTGTTTCCTCATCTGTATCACAGGCACAGCATGAGGTGACTCACCCTGGGGACCAGGGCGGTGTCCTGCCCATCCCCGCAGTTCCGGGCACTGGGGCTGCCCGGGGCCTTCATTCGTGGCTGTGCAGTCTGACCCTGCAGGGTGCTTGGCCTGGTCTGGCTCCGTGCTGCTCCCGCTGCCGCAGGCCTCCTAGAGGTGGGGCCTGAGACCAGAGGCTTTGTTGTTGGTGTTGGGGAGGCCCAAAATGGTGACTTTGCTTCCTGTCTGGAGGCGGGTGAGCTCTGACCATGGAAAGAGGTCAGAAAGGGACTGGCTGGATTCAGTGGTGTGAAGGCAACCGGTTCCAGGGAGGTGGGTAACAGACACACAGACTGCGGTGGGGTCACCTTACCTGTCAGCGCACCTTCAACGGCAGCTCCCATCCTGCCCTGGGGTCAGCTGGGTGCCCCCCACAACAGACTGGCTGGGGGGACAGACAGAGAGGCTGCGATCCCCTCAGAGAGGCTCTCCCACTCCAGACCTCCCCACACCCCGGGGTGTGCAGGACTTCCCAGTTCACCGAGGGCCAGAAGGCAGTCTCATTTGAGCCAGATTGCAGCCTGGCCATGCATGTGCGTGTGCGCATGAGTGTGAAAGCTGGGGTGGGGGACACTGGGAAAGGGGGGGTCAGGTTTCAGGAGCCACAATCTGGACCAGAGCCATGATGGAACTGGGGGCTACAGAGGTGCCCAGCCAGTGACCCCCATTGTCCATTCACAGCTCAGCTTCTCTTCAAGGGGAGAAGTGAGTGCTTCTTCCCTTCTCTTGGTCTGGCTCTGCCCACAGGTCTCCAAAAAGAGCTCCCTGACCTGGACTCCAAGGAAGGCAGTTGTGAAGGGTGGCAGGTGGCCGACTTCAGAGCGCAAAGGAGTACTGGGGTCTAGGGGCACGGGTCAGGGGGTTGGGTGGCGGCACCCTTGTCCTGATTCTTCACTTGGTTGTGGCTGGACTTCAGCATCGAACCTGGAGAAAGCTGCCACCATCAGCCCCTGGGTCACTGATATTTGCAAGGGAGGCTTTCTTGGTGTCCCAGGCTCTAGGATGGTGACTCTGGCCCAGGTGGTGGACCCCAAGCAATCCTTCACGGGTGTTCAGAAACCTTCTTCTTCACTCTGGGTGAAGCCATGCCCCGGGCTCCACTCTGCCTCTCCCTGGAAGCCCAGAGGTGCCCACCGGCAGCTTCCAGCCACACCAGCTCATAGAGTCCCTGGGGTCCCAGCTGAGGCTGGGCAGATCCCTGCCACCTGAGATGTGGTGGTTAAGCCACGGAAAAACCACACCACCAGCAGTTACTCCGCCAGCTACCTCATGAGAGCAGAGGACCACATTCTGAGGACCAGCCCACACAAGACAAATGTCACAAAGGAACACACCAATAGAGCACTTCATAAACATTTATTGAGCACCTACTCTGTGCCAGGCCCTATGCAGGACACTAAGAAGATGAAGTCAATGCAATCCAGCCCTCGCCCAGAAGGAGCTCACAGTCTAGCGGGCGAAACCTTCAATCGTAATTAACAGCTGCAAAGATGCATTTAGCTTCACAATTGTACAATGAACTTTTCTAAGTTCTCCCAATTGTCAACACCCAACAACATAACCACGTTGTTTTAAAAGCACATTGGCATAAATGTAAACAGTCACACCATTGAAAAGACAGACAGCAACCACCTGCAAAAATTCATAATCTGTGTTTCAGAACCAGACTGTCAGCATTATTTATTCCTTCCTATTTGGTAGGATACAAGTTCTGCCAATTTGCAGAAATAGTGGGAGAGACACAGGGGAGTTCCTTGGCCCTCATGCACTAGTGGAGTCGCCCGAGACACAAGGGGTCCTGAATCCTTGCTCGGTTTTCCTCCATCACACCACACATCTGGTCTCCTCTGGAAAAGGGCCCCTGACATCCTCAGTCTTTCTCCCGAGCTCATCAGATGGGGAGAAAGGGCCACACCCCATGAGCCAACCACAGCTGGTTGGGCGCACGGGTGACATCAGCTCAGACAGACCAGCACCGCCTGCTCAGCCGACTCCCCCTGGTTTAGGGACCAGCTTTCCGTTCAGTCTCAGAACCTGCTGGGCTGTGTTGTACGAGACCCGTCAGAAGCAGTGGAGCCGGGGCCGAGGGTGGACGGCCCTATTCTCCCACCCACCCCTGGATTCTACATGGGACAGTCAAGTTAGGGATCGGAGAGCTCTCTGTGCCTCTCTTGAGAGCCCCATCACCAGAAAGGAAGAACACAACCCTGTGCAAGTTTGGCTGGTGGCCGTAGTTTAGGAGGGAAGGGCTTAAGGAATGTGGGGAAGAGATCCAAAGTGGATTATCTCCTGGTTCAGGGAACCTGAAAACCAGGCAAAGGCTCGCTGTAATTAAGCGGAGATGGGGGCTGACCTGCTTGCCTTTCTTCCTGGCCTGGGGCGGGGTCGGGGGGAGGCATCGGTGCCCCTGCACGCTGGCCACAGCCAGGGCACTCTGGAAAGATGACCTTAGGTCTCAGCTCCTCCCTGGCACCCCAGAGTGGCCTGTTTCCAATGGAGATTCACCAAGTGAGTCAGAAGGTATGTGTAAAAGGCGCTCCTGACCCCATCTGGAGGGTAAGGGTGAGGGGAGGGGCTGAGGCGTCCATCTGACAAGGCCTGCCCCCACCCTGTGCCAGCGCCAGCCTCCCATCCGCAGCTTCTGGCCCACACCCAGGACCCCCTCTCAGCTCTCCTGCTTCTCAGGGTCGCTCTAGGGGGCTGGACAGATGGCTAGCAAACCCCTCCCCCCAATGATGGCCCAGACAGAACTCTCTTCATAAAAAAAAATAATTTATTGTCAACAAAGGAGATATATACAACAGGAAAAGAGGTGAACAGGAGAGTGAGTGACCGGTCGGCCACCTGTGGGGATGGAGTGGGAAGAGGTAATGGAGGCCTCCTGCTCTGGGGGCCTGCGCAGGGGGGAGGGGAGGCGTCCCCCGAGGTAGTGGGGCTCAGTTCACAACCACCTCCTGTGTAAGGCACTGTGCCAAGGGAGAATGGGGGGGGCTGAGAGGGTGGGAGGAGGTCAGGGGGACAGTAGAGGTCGGGGTCAGCAAAAGGATCGGGTAGGTGTTCTCCACAGGCCCAATACCCTACCACACGACAGCCATGGGCGGTCCCCCGCCTTGCCCCCAGGAGACGTTTTCCCAGCGCCCCAAGTCATGGCAGATGCTACCCACCTTCCTCTCCTCCATCCTGCTTTGGCACCTGGTTCTACTCTATCAGGCGGCTGAGCTGGGGGGCTCTGCGTGATGAGCCCAAGGGGGACACTGCCTCCTCCCTCCCTCCCTCCCACCCCAGAAAAACAAGAACCTACAGGCCACTCCCCGCCTCTGGCTGCGCCCCCACAGTGCTGCTGGATTCCGACAGCACCGCGGGCCAGTCTGGGGCGTCACCTGCTCCCACTCCCTTGGCGCCCTGGGGGTGCTTGGACCAGTCTTGCAGGAGGCTGACTGCTGGGGGCTCCTCCAGTCGCACGCGGATGACCTGGAGATCCAGCGTCCCGCGAAGCCCCGGAGGGGGAGCTGGGCAGGGGTGAGGGCAGAGAGCAGAGTCAGGGCCCTTCCGCAGCTTCTGGCCCACACCCAGGACCCCCTCTCAGCTCTCCTGCTTCTCAGGGTCGCTCTAGGGGGCTGGACAGATGGCTAGCAAACCCCTCCCCCCAATGATGGCCCAGACAGAACTCTCTTCATAAAAAAAAATAATTTATTGTCAACAAAGGAGATATATACAACAGGAAAAGAGGTGAACAGGAGAGTGAGTGACCGGTCGGCCACCTGTGGGGATGGAGTGGGAAGAGGTAATGGAGGCCTCCTGCTCTGGGGGCCTGCGCAGGGGGGAGGGGAGGCGTCCCCCGAGGTAGTGGGGCTCAGTTCACAACCACCTCCTGTGTAAGGCACTGTGCCAAGGGAGAATGGGGGGGGCTGAGAGGGTGGGAGGAGGTCAGGGGGACAGTAGAGGTCGGGGTCAGCAAAAGGATCGGGTAGGTGTTCTCCACAGGCCCAATGCCCTACCACACGACAGCCATGGGCGGTCCCCCGCCTCGCCCCCAGGAGACGTTTTCCCAGCGCCCCAAGTCATGGCAGATGCTACCCACCTTCCTCTCCTCCATCCTGCTTTGGCACCTGGTTCTACTCTATCAGGCGGCTGAGCTGGGGGGCTCTGCGTGATGAGCCCAAGGGGGACACTGCCTCCTCCCTCCCTCCCTCCCACCCCAGAAAAACAAGAACCTACAGGCCACTCCCCGCCTCTGGCTGCGCCCCCACAGTGCTGCTGGATTCCGACAGCACCGCGGGCCAGTCTGGGGCGTCACCTGCTCCCACTCCCTTGGCGCCCTGGGGGTGCTTGGACCAGTCTTGCAGGAGGCTGACTGCTGGGGGCTCCTCCAGTCGCACGCGGATGACCTGGAGATCCAGCGTCCCGCGAAGCCCCGGAGGGGGAGCTGGGCAGGGGTGAGGGCAGAGAGCAGAGTCAGGGCCCTTCAGACCATCCGGCTCAGGGATGTTCCTGGAAGGTCTCTAAACCACACCCCCCTTTCCAGGCCTTCCATTCCACAGCTCTGGACCTGCAGTCAGAGGGGAAGCCCAGGGACAGTGGGAGGCCTCGCTCCTGGTTCACCGGAGGACCAGCGCTGACCACGGGGGCATCACGCCTCCGGGGCATCAGCCACCGGCCCTCTGCAGACTCCCTCCTGTGTGTATTCCACACATGGATGCTTGGTGCTCGCCTCCGCTCCCCTCACCTCTCTATCTCCAGCTGACTCTGTTTCACCTAAACTTACTGGGCATCCTAGCCTGATGGGCTCTGCCCTGCATGGGCAGAGGTGGTGGGATGGAGAACACCCCAAAGGAAAGAGAAACAGGGCTCTGCCCTGGTGAATATGCAGGGAGGAGGAGGGAGCGCTGCACGGAGGGTCCTGGGGTTAACATCCAGCTCTGCTTTGCAACCCCGACCAGGCTCTTTACCTCCCGAGTCAGTACTGACCATGCAGGGGTCACGTGCCCACATGATCAGCATGAAGCTACTCACAACAGGCAAAATCGGATCTCAAGATGGGAAAGCGGACTGCTGACAGCCCCGTCAGGAAGCAACCCCACCCAGCGCACTGCACAAGCAGGTCCAAAAGTTACATCAAAAAGCAAAACCAGAAAACATAAAATAGTGACTGCAACTGTTGTGGTGTCTGTTACTTGTGGTTTTTGCCTTTACTGTTTCCAGAGACTTAGTGATTTGGCAGGGAAAATGGGTACAATTTCACTGTACCATTTGCTGGGATGTAAAATGACTCAATGGCTGCCACTGGGTTGTGCAACTGAACAAACTCTGCTTTGTATTCACATGAGCTGGTTTGTCTTCCTGACACACTCTACACTCCTTGAGGACACGTGGGGCCCACTCGCGGGGCTCTTTAATTCAACAGTAACTTACCGGGCAACCACACTGTGCCCCACGCTAGTCTAGCTGCTGGGGGTTCCCCAGGACACGGGGCGGACTAAGTGGCCTTCCTGGAACTTATGTTCCAGTGGTGAGAGCCAATCAACAGGACAAACAAATCAAAAATGCAATGTGATACACATGCATGGAAGCAAAGTGAAAAAGCACAGCAGAGAAGGGGACAGGAGGGTTTCACAGAGGTGACCTGGAGGTGACCCGTGAGCAAAGGTGTACAGGAAGTGAGGAGTCCGCACTGTCGAGCTGGGGAACAGCATTCCTGGGGGAGGAAGAGGACGTGCGGATGCCCTGGGGAGCGGGGAAGGTGAGGACCACCAGGCCCCCGAGGACTCTGACTTTTCTCCGGAACGTGACAGTGACGGTGCTGAGGGGCTCTGAGCAGCAGTGCTAGGATCCCACTGTGTTTTCAACGGCGGCTCTGGCTGCTGTAGGAGACTGACCCAGTGGGCGCTGGTCAGAAGCCAGGAGACAGGCTGTTAAGGAACCATGGATGAAGGCAGCAGCAGTAGAGATGGTGACACAGTTTGTGTGTGTGTCAAACCTGAGCATCCTGGAGGTGGGGCTAACGGGATTTGCTGACAGACTGAAGTGGGGTCTGAGAGAGATAGATGACTCTGAGGCTTTGGTCCAGGCAAGCTGAAGAACGTGGTAGCCAGCTTCCCAGGGAAGTGAAGCACGGGGAGGTGGGAGTAAAGAGGCTGGGGTAAGGGGACGAGACTGGGGGTTCCATTCAGAAACACTGTCAGAAACACCGAGTTTGGGGGATCTTTTATACAACCAACCAGACACATCAACTACACAAGAGAGAGGCTGGAACCGAAGGGACAGGCCCAAGGCAGAAGGGAAGGTGGAACCATGACACGCTTCGAGTCTGGGATCACCCAGGGTGTGGGTACAGATCCTGACTAACAGTTGGGTCATTCATTCATTTGCCAAATACACAGACAGCACCCATTCTGGGCTGAGCACTGGGGATATTACTGTGAATGAAACAGGCAAACTTCCAGACCCAAGGAAGCATAATACTCTAGAAACAGGAAGTAAAACCACCATATGATCCAACTTTGAGAGCTGGAAGCGAACAGCAAGAGAGGCAGGGGCAACCCCCTCACGGTGCAGCCAGAGAGGCCAAGGGCAGCATGAGCCTCCAGGAAGGAGGGCAGGACAGGCTCCCTGTTTCTGCCGGATCAGGAAAGACAGGGACTGACCACTGGGTCTAACCTTATGGACGTCAGTGGCAATCTTGCCAAAAAAGACATGTAGGTGGTAAGCATGAGTTTGAATCTAGTGGCTTCCAAAAGACAGACTGGAGATGGTAGAGAAAAGCTCTCCAGCTTTGCTGAAAAGGTTTGGGGACAAATGTGACAGAGGCTATGATGGATGAGGGTTATGAAGGGAGAAATAACATCTCTATGTAAGCTGATAGGGAAGACCTGAAGGAAAGAATAGCTCGTGGTCCAACAGAGGAGACTTGATCCCTGGCCCTCACGGCAGGCTGAGTGCTGCACGGGCGAAAACACAGACGGGCTGCCCGAGGCTCAGTTTCCTTTTCTGTAAAACGGGGGCTCAGCACCCCAAGCCCAGAACTGCCCCCACTTGCCTCCTGGCCCAGCCCAAATCCCTCTGCTCCCCCAGCTTCAGCCCCCTTCTCTTCCTCCACACTTGTGCATATGTGTGCAAATGTGAGCACCTCCTCTAGGGGGTGGCTGGGACCCATCTCTCATTTTTCACTAAGGCTCATCTCTGAGCAGAGACTCTGGAAATGTCACCACCAGAGTGACAAATGAAAGCAGTTGCCATCCACTCATCTGTCAGTAAATCTTTTCCAAGGGCTTTCTTTGTGCATGCCCTGTTCCAGGTGCAGAGGATACAGCAGTGAACAAAGCCTGCCACTCATGAAACTCACACACACACACACCCCACCCCCCGCCATCTTCTCCTTGGTCCAGTCTCTCTCTCTCACACACACTGTCTTCTTCTTGGTTCAATCATACACACCCCGCCCCCCGCCCCTTGTCTTCTCTTTGGTCCAGTCTCTCTCTCTCTCTCACACACACATTCTTCTCCTTGGTCCAGTCAAAGCCCCCCCATCTTTTCCTTGGTCCAGTCACACACACACACCCTGTTTTCTCCTTGGTCCAGTCTGTCTCTCTTACACACACTGTCTTCTTGTTGGTTCAATCATACACACACACACACACACCCCTTGTTTTCTCTTTGGTCCAGTCTCTCTCTCACATACATACACATTCTTCTCCTTGGTCCAGTCACTCACACACACACACTTTCTTCTCCTTGGTCCAGTCACACACACACACACACACACACACACACACTTTCTTCTCCTTGGTCCAGTCACACACACACACACACACACTTTCTTCTCCTTGGTCCAGTCACACACACACACACACACTTTCTTCTCCTTGGTCCAGTCACACACACACACACCGCCCCCCCATCTTTTCCTTGGTCCAGTCTCTCTCTCTCTCTCACACACACACACACACCCCCGTCTTTTCCTTGGTCCAGTCTCTCTCTCTCTCACACACACACATACACACACACCCGTCTTTTCCTTGGTCCAGTCTCTCTCTCTCTCACACACACACACCCTGTTTTCTCCTTGGTCCAGTCTCTCTCTCTCTCACACACACACACACACACACACTTTCTTCTCCTTGGTCCAGTTGGGAACACACTGGTCTAGCTGAGGTATTCTAAGCCAGATCTCCAGGTCTTATTCTAATTAAACACCAGGAAGGCTTCTCTCCACTACTTGCAAGTGGGTCCTCAGGGCTCACCGCCTCTCCTGGCCTGGATGCCCTCATCCTCCAAGGCCCCGGAATGTCCAGCAAACCTTCCCTGACAGCTTTACACACATGGCCACCAGTTCAGCTGACCAGTGACTTCCTGCCAACTCCCAACTTCTAAATCCTTGATTTTTAATTTTCTTTTTTAAAATGGTAGGCTCTCCAGTCCACCAAGACCTTTGGAGAACTTCAAAAAAATTAAACAACTCAAAGTAGAACATTCTGGTTGAAGCCTCACATGTTTCTGAGAAATCTGAGCTCTGGGTTCTTAAAACCCAGAACCGGTCTGCAGTCACTAGTCTGGAGTCATGCTGTGCTCAGAACCACCGTGGGCACCCTACGCGTCTGTTATGTGCTGGCGTGGGCCCCTCAGAAGACTGGGAGTCTCCTGGGGCCAAAGCTTGGCCACTTGTGTCATTTCTCAGGGCTTCTTGGGTCAGGCTGCAGGCACACCTACTGCCATGTCTCTCGCCATCTCCTGCGCTTTCTGGACTGTCCGGAACCTCTACAGGTCCCTGCCGCTGCCAGAACATGGCTCAGCGCCTCCTTCCCTTTCAAATCATTCAGACAGCTGAACCCCGAAGTCTCAGGCTCTGCCCACTCACCCCAAACGAACCTGAGACCTCAAGGATGCTCTTCTCAGCTACTGGTCACTCCAGACAGGTGGAGTTTGGGCACAGGGTACCCCAAGGCTCGAAATGAAGCCTCCGCCTTCTAGAATGAAACCAGAAGACCCACCAGCCAGTGGGAAAGGTCAGCTATGTACAGCAGGGGTCCGCTGACAATACGAGGGGGACCAGGAAACACACAAGTCTAGGCACAGTGCGGTCCTGGGGAGGCAGGACTGCAAGGTGACTCAAGCTGAAACCTGAGACAGTTAAAACCTCACAGGGGTGAGGCCCGCCCTCAGACTGGAAAAAGCAGAGCCCCTTTGGGTAAAAAATAAATAGATCGGAGAATATGGGCATCTATTTGCACACAGAGCTTTGTGAGAGGTTGGACGGATACAAGCCAAATTTTTGACAGTGGTCAGTGAGCGACGTGGGCTGAAGGGAAGTGAGGCTTTGTCTTATGCAAAAGGCACACCTCCTTTTCGGGAGCCCTGCTCCGGGGAGCCCCCAGCACCCGGTGTACCATCTTTCTCAGGGCTCCAACTCCACGCGCCTGCTTCAGGCAGGCCGGGACGAGGTACTCTGTACCACATTCACTCCTTCAAGAACCACTTTCTGCACCCAAGATGCTGCAAGCAGGGCCTGGCCTGGCGAGATGGAGAGAGAGGAACCAGGCTCAGCCGGTGCCCCACTGGAACAGACCAGTGTCAGCTCAATTCTGCTACTGCCGCGTTAGGTGACTGTCCTAGCAAGAGTACCAGTCCCCCAGAGATGTCCACGTTCTAACCCCCAGGGCCGTGAATATGATATGCTCACGGTGGGGAGAATTAAGGATACAGAAGGAACTGACGTTGTCAATCAACCAACTTTAAAATTAAATGGAGCCTTGGATGATCCAGGTGGGCTCAGTGTAACCACAAAGGTTCTTAAAGGGGAAAGAGGAGGTCGAAGGGCCAGAACCAAAGATGGTATCCCAAGAAAGCCTGGCCATGGCTGGCTCTGAAGATGGAAGGTGAGCACAAGCTGAGGAATACAAGCAGCCGCGAGAGGCTGGAAGAGGCAAGACTCCCTCTTTAGGAGGCAGAAAAGAACTGGCCCTGCCGACACCCTGCCTATAGCCCGCTGACACCTCCCGTACCAGGCCTCTGGCCTCCTGGACTAAAAGGCAGTGTATCTGTGCTGTTGTCAGTCACTGAGTTTGTGGCAATCTGTTACAGCAGCCATAGGAAGGGAACACATGGACGTGGAAAAGGAACCCCCTCTCCGAGACTTGGCCTGTCCGTTCGGAAAAAGACACTTTTATAAGCGCCAAATGAGCTGCATATAAAATTTTCTTAAAATCAGAGAACATATATAAACACAAGCGCTCACTGCTATCACCAGACATACCCTGAACTGAGGGTCTGTGGCGCGTTGACCCCCGTCTCCTGTTATCAGTCCCATTTAGGCCCCTGGTGGGCATCTCAGGCTCTAGCTGGAATCAACCGTGAGCGTGGTGACGGCTGTCGGGCTTTGGGAAACACTGGCCTAACTCAACCTAATGACCAGGATGCTCCCAAGGAGTGTGCCCAAACCTCAGCTCTCGGGCCGGCTGCCTGCCCTCAGCCCAGCCACCCGGGGACGTGGCCTCCCCAACACTGCACACCTGCCGCCCCCGCTCAGGTGCTCACCTGGGGAGGGGCTTTCCGGCTGGAGGAGGCCTCCTTCGGCCCCTCTCCCCTCTTTGGGCAAGTCTCTGCGGTCTGAGGCCCTGAGCTGGGTGTGGGAGAAGAGCTGGAGGGCGAAGCCGGCCGGGAAGCTGCCGTCCGTGAAGTGCCGGACCTCGGCAGGAGCAGCGAAGGTCTCCGTGGGCGAGTCTGGTGAGGGGGGGTCTGAAGGAAGGACAGGATCAAACTGTGGGCCTCGTCTGAGGTGCACGTGACCCCTGCCACCCCACCCTGACCCCTCCAGCCCCAGCTTCCCCCTGGAGCCCACACTTGCTCCTTCACCTGGGTCAGGGTCTGGGTCTAGGTCCAGGGTTTTGGTCATAGGCCTGCCTCTTTTCTTCCTGACCGGCTCTTCCCTAGAGAGCTCCTTGCATCTCTGACCACGGGGCTTCTTGATTACTGGCTCTGGGACAGGGGTCACTGCAAAAGATAAGAGCTTTTTAAGAGGCCTGACTCCCGCAATCTCGGAGCTGCAGGGTACCTGCCGAGCAGCCTGTCTCCACCCAGCTCACGAGGTTCATGACACCCTCACCCCAACTTGGCCTCACTGGCTTTGGGATGACTGACCGGGAAGTTCCAGAGGGCGAAGTCCCCTGGGCCGGGTCCTCCTGGGGAGGGATGGGTTGTCCTCAGAGTCGAGGAGAACGACGATCTCTGCTGGCATTCTGGCAGGGTCCGGGTCGGAGTCCTGGCCTGAGTCTGAAGCAGGCAGATGCCAGTGATCAACCACAAACTCCAACTCTCCCCTCCGCCCCCACCTCTGTCCCCACTACCTGAGTGGTGTGTGGACGTCTGCTCCGCTCGAAAGTCTTGCACAAGGGCCGCCCCCTCGCTCCAGGCCTCCAGGATGTTGCTCTTCTCAGAAGGGCTCAAGTCCAGGGTGTGAGGATGCTGCTCCAGGATGTGGGCGCGTGCCGTGTCTGCCGAGGGTGCCTGGATCTCGGCTCCACACACCATGCACAGCGCCCGCCCGCTGCCTCCCGGGCTGTTCCCCACCAGAAACTCCTGCTCCCAAGACACCTGCTGCTTGGGCTCCTCAGAGCCATCACTGCCCGCCTCCAGCAGGCTGGGCCTGGGCGGTGGGGTCTTTTCCTGCTGGGCCACTAAGGAGGAGAGGAGGGGGAAGGTGTTATCAGTAGAGGTGCCCACACCAGCAAGAGAGAACAGGGTTCCCCAAGCTTGGTGGCATGTGCAAGGAAGGACCCTTCCCACCTCGTGTCTCTTTTCTCCCCGCTCTGGAGCCCACAAGACACTAGCCACAACAAACACAGCTGACATGCCACCACATCCCGCTAGCCCAATCCAGTCTCCGACCACAGGTCCAACAGGTTTTTCCAAAGACTGCATTCCAGCATGGCCCGGTCTGGGCACACCTGTTCAGGCCACCCCGTCAGTCTGGCAAACTCCTTGACTTCTTTCATGGTCCTGTTCAAATCCTCGGCCCTGTGAAGCCTTTCCAACCACCCACCCCTGGCAGTTGACTATATCCACATCTGACTTCTGACAGTGCTCACTTCCTCAAAGACAAGAACAGCAAACTTTGTCATCTTATTCTCCTGCAGGGCTTGGCATGCAAGGGAGGAGATGCTCGATGAGCTTTGGGTCAGCAAAGGGCATCCAGGCCTGGTCCTCCACTTGTTGGGGCCCCGTCAAGAGGCCTCTCCCCCCCAAATCCTTGGCAGCAGTGACCTTGTCCACCCCCAAGGGTGGACCCAGCACCATTCTCTCTGCACATGGGATCATAATATTTGACAGGGTGGGAACCGTTCTCAGCTTAGCAAACGATGCAGGCTCAGATCCTTGTGAGTCTGGCAGCTCAGAGCTTTTAATCCTTTGTGGGTGCACCTCTCTCCCATCTGAGAGGATGGGGCAAAATACAAACATGGGAGGTTCTAATACCTGGGGACTTCCTGGAAGAGGTGGCATTTGAAACAGGTCTGAGAACTGGCTTGGTCTCAGAAGGTTTAGCTCCAAGGCTGGGCGGTACCTCTCTCCCAGGTGAGGGGGGCTGCAGTTCTTTCCCACCACTCCTCCAGAATAGCTTTGTCAAGGTCACCACTGCGGTGACCCAGCGATCAACGCTTCAACTTCATCCCCTGGCAGATCACTTCTTCCATCTTGATTTTTGTCACCTGGTTTCCAGGGCATTACCTTCTGTTGGTTCTTCTCTAACTTCACAGGGGCTCTTTTTCGGGCACCCGTGCCAGTTCCTTCTCTAGGAGAGAATGGTCTTCTCACCAAGGCCTCTTTGCCGTCCCTGAGAAAGTAGCCAGCAGCCCCACCTGAGTGTCCTGTTCCCCTCACTTCATCTCCTCCAAAGCCCACAAGGCTGCCTGACGAAACACGTGCTTTCCTTGTTCCCTGTGTCTCCTCACTTGGCCGCAGGTCTGTGACAGCATGGGTTTTTTGATCCTTCGCACCTATATCTCCAGCAACTGGCCCAGTGCCTGGCATGCCGTGGCATTCAGCAATGTCTGGTAAGGATCAACTCAGTCTCCAAGCTGGAATCCCTGGAGCATTCCATGACTCAGTCCTAGGACCCCTTCTCTATCCACCTCCTTCCTCTGGTGGTCTTGCTCCAAAGCCTGCCTGTTGACAACTCCCATGTTTACACCTCTAGCCAGCCACTCCCAAGAAATTTAGATTCACGAGTCTTATTTCTTATAGGACCTCTGTGCTTCAATGTGCATCTCAAACTTGTCTTGTTCAAACTGCAACCTCCTACAGGCCTGCCCCTCAGTCTTCCTGTCTCAGCAAATGGGAAGTCCATCCTTCCAGTCACTCAAGCCAAAAACCTTGAATTTGTGTTTTTCTTACCTCCCTGAACCAAACCTTTCAAGAAGCTTGTTTCAGGATCTTTGCAATTGCTGTTCTCTCTGCCTAAAATGCCTTACCTCCAATTATCTACAGGGTTCCCTTCCTCACTTCCTTTGGTCTGTGTTTGAAATTCACCGTATTAAGAAGACTTTCCTGACCACTTGATACTCCAAATAAACCATTCTCACTCTTCTTATCTTGATTCAGTGTTCTCTGAACTACTCGTCACCATCTGACAAGCTGTACATTTATCTGTATTCATCTATCTCTGGTCATTAATATATACCCACAAGTTCCAGAAGAGCAGGGTTTCCACTTTGTTTACGCTAATTAGCATGCCCAGCCTAAAACAGTGCTTGACATGCAAGTGTGCGTGCTCAACTGTGTCTGACCCTTTGTGACCCCATGGACTGCAGCCTGCCAGGCTCCTCTGTCCATGGGATTTCCCAGGCAAGAATACTGGAGTGGGTTGCCATTTCCTGCTCGAGGGGATCTTCCCAACCCAATGATCAAACCCACATCTCTTGCATCTCCTGTACTGGCAAGCAGGTTCTTCACCACTGCACCACCTGTGAAGCCCTGACATATAAGAGGTGCCCCCAAATACTTGTTGCATGAATCCACTTCTCTGGGGAAGAAGAATGCTCTCGCAGTTGTTGAGAGGGTTAACTGAGACAGTCTGGCACTGAGCACTCAATAAATGGTACCAAAGGTAGGGAGAGAACCTCTTCCGGATGGAAAATGCTTTATTTCCCTCATTTTAAAGCCCTCCAAAAAGGAAGAGGTGGTGGAGGGACACGTCATTATGTTCTGCTTTAGCTAAATGAACGGCATTGCTCTCAAGCTTTTTCGGTATTGTCCCCACTAAGAGAAGAGGTATCCAGGAATGCAAAGATCTGCATTTTCATGAATAGTATGTCTTCCACGAAGGTGGCCCTTTGTTTTCTTAGGGCCCTCAACATCCTGAGGGCTGGAAAAATCAGTGGAGGAGGAAGGGAAAGTGAGTGCTTACACATTGCTCTTCAAATCCCCTCTCGAGGCCCATCTCCCTCTAGAGTGGCCGAGGGCGCCTGTAGCAAACATTTATTTTCCAAAACTGGGTGCCGTAAGCAATCCCTTTCACCCCTCTAGCGCCAGAATCTGACACCTGTGGCTTATGCGTGTGCAAGGCCTGGGGATGGTGGCGGGGAAGTGCAGGAAAGCTTTAGGCTTGGAGGGCCCTTAAAATCCACCTCTCGGCGGGCTACACCGGCGCCTGCCTCCACCCACCGAGTCGCTCCGAACCCTGAGGGGAAGGGCCCCTGCCTCCGGCCTGGAGGCCTTGACGCCCCTCGGCCTAGAACACAGCCTGGCCCCTCGGCCTGCCTCTGCCTCCCCGGGCGGAGTGCCCGCCAGCGTCACCTCGAAGCCGTCGAGCAGGGCCCGGGCGAGGGGGCGCTCGGGCACCGGAACATCCGGAGCGCGCCGGGCGTGGATCGAAGGCTCCAGACCCCGGGCAGGGGCGGGGGAGGGGGAGTTCGGGGAAGGCTGAGATTCCAAACCCTGGTGTGGGGGTGGAGCAAAAGCGCGCCAGGGCCTCAGACTCTGGGAGGACGGGGGCGCCCGGGCCTCAGGCTGGAGTCGGTTGGGCACCAGACTGGAGGTGGGGGAGGGGTACCCGGACCCCCGACTGAGGAGGGGACGCCGAGCCCGGACCGTGACGCGGAAGCGGGATTCCCTCCCCTCCTCACCTCTGAGCATCGGCTCGGGCCGCGGAATTACGGCCACCACCATGGCCTCCTCGTCATCCTCCCCTTCCTCGCATTTGAGCGTCACCTCGAAGCAGTCGAGCGCGGCGCCCTCAGCCTTCAGGGCCATGGCGCGGCCGGGGGGGGTGGGGCGGGGTGGGATCTTGGTGACCGGACGCCGAGGACTGGCGCGCAGGCCTGGGCGCCGAGGGCGGCTGCCACTTCGCGCCCCGTGCAGCCCCCTCCCTGCCGCCCGCCGCTCGCCGGCCCGGCCTGCGGACGGGCGCGTCTGGGTCTCCCCGAGACCTACACAGTCGGGACCCCGGGGTGGGGGGGAAGGGCTCAATCCGGGGCCCCAGCCCCCCGCCGCTCCCTTTTATGGAGGCTCATTGTCGGCGCCCGCCCGGCCGGCCCGCCGCGGGCCCGCCCCCTACTCCGCGCGGCCAATCGCGTGTGGCCCCGCCCCGGGCACGCGGCTCCGTTAGAATCCCTGGGACCCGCCGGGGGCGGGCAGGGCCGCGGGCTTCCGGCTGCCGCGGGGCGCAGAGGTGGGGGTCGCTGGCCCGCGGGAGAGGACCCTGAGCTTCTCCCGGCCGGGAGCGTCCGGAGCCGGCCAGCCGAGCCTGACGGGTCTCCCGCCATTTGAGACGCCGATCGGGCACGTTGCCTGCACGTAGAGCGCTACCAGGCGCCCCAGGGTTTTGATAACCCCGACTCTAGCCTTTCCCTGAACTAGCCTTCCTCGGCCAGAAGATGCCCCCGGGTGAGGGAAGAACCGGTAGGGGAGCGGAAAGGGCTTTGGCGTGGGAAGAGTAGAGACTGAATTCCTTAAGATTTGCCAGCTCTGAGACCTTGGCTACGTTATCTCTTTTCTTAGACTATTTCATCCTTTATTAAAAAAAAATTGTGGAGCCTTCTGGACAAGGATGAAGATGCCAAGTGGAGTGTTTTGAGCGCGCGTCAACCGGCCGAGGGTTGTGATTTCCACCTTTTAAACGCGAGTCCAGACATCGTGCTCCTCCCCTCTAAGGTCACTCGGAAGCCCTTGAGAGCCCCGGACCAGAGTCCAGTTGCCATGACGCTGCTGCATCATAACTCCGGTCTGGCTGAGCTCTGACCTCTGCGACAGAGAATGGGCATCTCCGTCTGCTGTAGAAGCCCTCGGGAGAATTCAGTGGAGGACATGCCTGACACTGAAAATCCCTCTTAAAATGCCACTGTACCAGATCAGAATAGAGGAGATCAGAATAAAGGTATTACTGTTTACCCTAATTCTGTCTTAAGGTTGTTCGCTCCCTTTGCTGCAGACCCCTTCCTTGCCTTTCTGCTCTGCTCTGTATTGCCCTGCAGGGTGCAGTTTCTCAGGCTTCCAGGACAGCTGCCTTCATTCAGCCTTGGGTTTGGCGAAACGGAGACAGAGGCAGGAGACTGGAAGGTAAAAGGCAGGAAAAAGCCAGGTTATTTCTCTTCCTCGTGGTTCCAACTTCCCAAGGGTGACCCTCTCCCCCACTCTCCCTTAATTCCACCCCCTCCATTTGTCCCTCCAGCTTAGGAGTGTGGGCAGCTTCTTGTTTTTGCTAATCTTTGGGTCGCCTCATTGTCCCCTGTTGGGTTTCTCAGCCCTGCCATCACCTGTCATTGTGTCACCAATTCGGGGCACTGGATTTTCTGGCTTACATACTTAGAGTGGTTCCTGTTTGCCTGGTTGGACCGTGAGTGATACACCCAATATTATACCAGGCACTTTGTAGACATTATTTCTTAGACCTCACAAGTCTTAGGTGGTAGATTGTATTGTTCCCATTTTACCTAGCAGGAAGTTGAGCCTTACAGGGTTTTATTACTTGCCCAAGTTAATTAGCATCAATCCTATTTCATCAAATCTAGCATGAGCATTTCTCCCTGCATTTTAACATCTTTGCAGTGGGGGTACTTTTTTCTCTAATGGACACCAGTGTGAAGTTTTAGGACTATCAAGAAAGTATAAGATGGCCCTTCTGATATTCGGATAGTGATGATTCCAGCAGAACCTAAACCATTGCTATTTTAAGAAGAAGAAGAGGAAGAAACAGGCCCAAAATGGAGCCATTTGCCCTCAGGACAGCAAATCAAGTCTTAATTGCAGTTTCATTCTTTCCCAGCAATGTGTTCTATAAACAGAAAATCTAAAATTTCCTGATCAGTACTAGTCAGGTAATCTGCATAAAAGACCTCTTCTGTCCCCTTTCCCCTGAAAAGAAGATAACCTGGACTGAAAAAGTTCTTTCTTTGCTAATAACTTCCCCACTCACCCCTCCTTCCTTTTGTAACCCCCGCCTTTTTTTTAAACCTTTCCTTTTTTGTACAGTTCCTTGGAGCACTTTTCTGTTCCCTAGATGGGATGCTGAGTCATTAGATAAAGCCAATTAAATATTCAAATTTACTCAGTTGAATTTTGTTATTTATCAGTGCTTAGAATGAGACATGCTTAGATGCTCACATGGGGCCACTTTGTGACCACAAAAATGACTTGGCCTTTCTCTGAGTGATTCGTGGTGGTTTTTTTTTTTTTTTTTTGGTTTGGTTTTGGTTTGTTTTGTTTTTGCCACACCACGTGGCTTGTGGGATGTTCCCCAACTAGGGATTGAGCCGGGCCCCCAGAATCAACCACTAGGCCACTAGGGAATTCCCAATTGGTGCTTCTTTACGGAAGATACAAATCTAGCCCTATTTGAATCTTCCTGCCTCCTAGGTAAGCATTATAAAGATAACCAGTCTCTGAATTGCCCCTGCTTCTTGACAGCCTTCAATCCAGACATAGTCCCCACTTCCCTATTCCCTCCACAGAACCAGGGGAAAAAGCCCACATTTAAGGACACACACAGGATGTTCTCAGGATAAGCTCTCCTAACTGCCTGCTAGTTAAATAAGTCTGACTTTTTTTGACTACAGGTGTGTTTCTGGTGGTCTTTGGTCAAAGGCTTTGACAACCTTAACCAATTTATTTTGCTTCTATTTTCCATTTTTATACATATAAAAAGTGATACATGATAAAAATCTATGTCGCTATGTCAGTCTCAAAGAGCTCTTTAAATAACTAAACAATTCCAAGAGATAAGAAATCATTGTGTCAGAACTTGGCAGCATTTTTTATTTTTAGGGTTGCCTAAAATAATGGTTCTTCTTACATCTTGTGCTCTTTTGAGTGAAATCCAGTTGCAAAAGCAGGACTCAACTCCGGTTCTGCCCATTCTACCCATCCACTGGCCTTGCTCTATCCACTACAGCACCACGCTGCCTCACTGGGAACTTTAAATAGTTGTTAAATGAATGAAAGGGTAGGTATTATTAGCTCCGATATATGCATACAAAGAAACTAAATCCAAGAGAAATAAGTCACTTGAGATCAAACAGCTTGCAAGTCACAGAGCAATTCTGACTGCAAAGCCAGGGCTCTTTTCCATCATACCTACTGCTGAGGGAGCCCTCCCTGCACAGAGCATCGGAGGGGAAACTCCAGGACCAGCTTAAATGAAGCTGTTACCTGTTCCCATCTGTCAGACACACAATCCGTGCTGAGTCCTTTGTGAAGGAATTGGGACTTTAATTGCTGAGTTGGGCTGTGTGGAGGAGAGAGGGTAGAGATTTACTAGGCAAATATGTCTGTAACTCGTGAATTTGGCCTTGGATTATGAGATTCCTAGAGCAGGGGAAGGACAGACTGGAGATTAGAGACATGAAAACAGTGGCCTCTGTCCCAGTAGTTAGCTGTTCCAGGCCATTCCTCACGTCATCCCCAGGGCTGGAGGCCCAAGCTGGGATGAAGCATTGCCTTTTCTTTTTTTTTTTTTTAACTTTTTAAAAAGATTTAAGTATAGTTAATTTACAATGTTGTGTTAGCTTCAGATGTACAGCAAAGTGATTCAGTTATGTTGTTTACTGGTGAAGTCCTGTCTGACTCTTTTGTGACCCCATGAACTGTAGCCCGTCATGCTTCTCTGTCTCTGGAATTCTCCAGGCAAGAATACTGGAGTGGGTTGCCATGCCCTCCTCCAGGGGATCTTCCTGACCCAGGGATCAAGCCCATGTCTCCTGGAAGTCTCCTGCATTGCAGGTGGATTTTTTACCATTGAGCCACCTGGGAAGCCCCGATTCAGTTTTTTATATATATATATATATTTTTTTTTTTTCAAATTATATTATTCTACTTGCATATATACTCTCTCAGATTCTTTTCCATGATAGGTTACTATAAGACATTGAATGGAAGCATTTCCTTTTGATTCAGCTCTTACTGTTGGCATTTGGGGCCTTGGTGATGAGGGGACAAGGAGTGGGCTGCTGTGGGAAATAAAGCCAGCCAGAGCTCTAAGTGAAGAGACGGCTGTTTGAAGGCTAAAAGTGGGTGTGTGGGGCTGCACTTTAACTTACTTGGCATTCTGTACTCATAGCAACACTTCTGTTTGAAACGCGTGTTCCAATCACTTGTCAGCATCTCCCAGTCTCTTGGTCTGTGGGTTGCCAGAGGGCAGGTCCATTTCTCATCCATCTTTCTAGTTCCAGCCCTGTCCCTGGAGCTGTGGCGTTAGCACCAGCTTGGTGTCTATACTGCAAGGGTCTTGTGCAAACAAAATGGGCAGGGGGCAGGGTGGGGGCGTCGGGGAGCGGCTTCCCTGGTGGCTCAGTGGAAAAGAATCTGCCTGCCGAAGCAGGAGACTCGAGTTTGATCCCTGGCCCGGGAACTAAGCCCAGGCACTGCAACTATGGAGCCTGTGCTGTAGATCCCAGGAGCTGCAACGGCTGAACCCTCGGCTGCAGCTACTGGGGCCTGCACGCCCTACAGCCTATGCTCAGCAACAAGAGATGCTGCCGCGATGAGAACGCTGAGCACTGCCACTGGAGTGCCCCGCTCATCACAACTAGAGAAAAGCCCAGGCGGCAACGAACACCCAGCACAGGCAAATAAGGAAATAAACAGAAACCAAAATGGGGGATCTATTGGCTCATGGGATTCAGGGAAGGGCTGAACACTCGATCATGCAAAAGGCGGGGAGACGGGCAGGATGCGAACACCACCAGTTCGATCTTTCCATCCCTGGTCTCTGCCTTTTTCTGTGCGTCAGCCTTATTCTCTCCTTGTAGATGGCTTTTTTCCCACATAGCAGATGTCCCACCATTTCCCATCTACTAGCTTCTGTGCTTAGTCACTCAGTCGTGTCTGACTCTTTGCAACCCCATGCACTGTAGCCCACAAGGCACCTCTGTCCATGGGGATTCTCCAGGCAAGAATACTGGAGTGGGTTGCTATGTCCTCCTCCAGGGGATTTTCCCAACCCAGGGATCGAACCCAGGTCTCCCAAGTTGCAGGCGGTCTCTTTACCATCTGAGCCACCAGGGACTGGGTACATTTCAAACGTTGTTTCTCCTCCACTGCCCACGTGCGCCTCGGGTGCCAGGCACTGTAGAACACACTCCTATCAGCAGAAAACTTCTGATCCTGCACTTTGGTGTCACAAAGTGAGCTGACTTTGCTTAGTGGGCATTCGGAAAATTTCTGGAAGCCATGCCCACTCAGGACCGTTCTTAGTAACTAGACAGGGAAGTGGCTATGAATGATACACATCTATAGCAGTATATTTATACAACTCCTCCCACTGATCGACTACACAGCTGCTGAACTCAACAGTCGGAACTGCCAATGGCCATCCCTCCTCCACTTGATGTGAGGGGAAGAATGGTGGAAAAGGTGGCAGAAAAACTCAGCCAGGGACTTCCCTGGTGGTCCAGGGGTTAAGAATCTGCCTTGCAATGCAGGGGACACAGGTTTGATCCCTGGTCAGGGAACTAAGATCCCACATGCCGAAGGGCCAACTAGAGAGTCTGGCATAGATCCCACGTGACTCAATGAAGTTTCCACGAGCTGCAACTAAGACCCGATGCAGCCAAATAAATACACAAATATTAACAAACAAATAGCCAATCGAATGCAACAGGAATTTTGGGAATAAATTAATATAATAGTAAAATACTAAAAATCACAACAGCCAGTAACAGGAATTGGCTAATTAAATGATGGTATGATAGCACCACGAAGAACAAATTTCCAGACTGTAACAACACAGAAAAGCATTTATGGAATAATGTTAAGTGTGCAAACCCACAAACATACACAGATATTCCTTGATTTACAGGTTTATTCCCATAAATCTATCATAAGTTTGAAATCGTACAACTCAGATTGTCTTTTAATCTGAGTCTTTTAATTGAGATAACACACCTAGTCTCAGGACTTA